TGTGCGCATTTTGTCCCTTTTTAAATAATTCGTTCGGGTCACTTTTATTTTTTAGGTATTAAGTGAATTCACTCTCCGATGTGAAGGTTTGTGCATTTATTCGTGAAGAAGGTCCGACTCATGTAATGATTTTCCCATAGACTTACATTATGAAAATGGTCCCCTATTCTATCTTAAAAATTGAATTTTCATGCTAAAGAGATATTCTTTTCTAGCAGAACACATAAAATGCTTTTGTAAGTGTAACCAATCATATTTTCTTTGCAAAATTACTTAAAAAAAGGATTTAACCTCCAACATTCTTCAGTTCTTTCATAAAGTAAAATACTGAATAGAATAAGTGTAAATCAAGTTGTTTAAACTTCACTCTGCAAGTGAAGATCGCACTGATAACAATATATTGGACAATATGCCACTTCAAATATGCATTCTATACAAGTAATGCATGAATATGGCAGTTTACAGGGAAGCCAATACTGTTGGACAAGCCAATGAGGTACATGTATTTGATTTAATGAGACATGTATAGGATTTGTGTTTATTGTCACTCATTACAATATGTAGTACACCTTGATGAACACATTTCAAATCAAAAGGTCACTGTGACTTGATGTATCAAAATATTCAAAGGGCAATAAAATGGAAATGCATATACATAGGGACTTCATTCTTTCTATGTGAATGTATCTTTATATATCTAGCCTCAGTTGACCGTTTCTTGGCCAATTACCGCCTTGTTATGAATTGATTACTCCTCTCTGGTTTCCATCATTATATAGGTTGTTGTAAAACTGAGAGAGCTTGACATTTAAACCTACCTCAGGATACCTCAGAATATAGAAATGACAAAGGGATTCGCACCTAGCTTTATACCCTTATATGATCTTATCTTATTTCTGTATTGAATAATTATGGCCTTTTCCAGCAGTGGATGTAAGTTGAGGGTCATCATTTCTTTCTTGTTTTAGGGGGAAAATGAAATATGAATAATTTTTGAAATACAATAAGTTTATTTATTTTTCAAATGATCAGTAACGATATGTAGATCAAGTGATATTTTATTGATATACCTTTTTTTATTACACATAGATGATATAATGTATCAGTCGCCTTAATTTTTCTTTGTATCTTTTGCAGATACCATGTCTAGATATAATACTCTATCAACAGTGATATTTCAATTATACTTGAAAACAATTACATTAAAGTAAATAATAATTTGAATCATACTGTCACAAGCCTTCATTAAGACCTGGTATCTAATGCACAATTCATTTTTATACATTTGTTAGCTTTAAAGCAATTTTTATCTTTTTGTACAGAAATTGTACAGGAATTAATTGTATTCAAATATATACAACATTTCACTCATGTACAAGCATGATATTAACTTACGCACATTTTGTTGATGTATAATCACTGCACTATCTTTACAATTAACAAATTATAATAAGAATATTGAAACAAGTTATATTATGCAAACACATTTCATAACTGATATGTTCTTTTATTGATATTTTTAGCACATCCTCTAGACCTGAGAGAAGCCAAAAATACCTTAATACAATAAAAAATACTTTTTAACAGTAAATACTTGCATAAGAATTCATAGAAAGTTAAACAAAAAATCAAAGAAATGAAAATAACTTACCTATACAACTTTCGTCGTTTTGTTTTTCAATTATCGAATACATTTAACACATCCACTAAGACAGAATATAAAACCTACAGATGTTATGTTTTTGTTACATTTTTACAATAAAGACATAGTATTAATTGAATATCAACTACACTGTAAGAAACTATGTAACTTCTTGAATCTCGTAAATAGACTTAGAAAAACCACGTCAGACAAATATGTAAAAATTGGTCCTTTTTTAATATCTTTGAAGATATTTTTGTACGAAATACTTTAAACAATTTGACAAGCATTTTGATTAATACATGTATATAATTTTATTATTTCTGATATGCTTAAAACTTTATTCTTGACAAAAGCATAATTTGCCTATCAAATAATACTACAAAAAAGATATATCAGTTTTGCATAAAGTCGGTAGCCATCTTGAAGTCTGAAGAGTTATGCAAACGAAATTTTGATATATTTAAGTTTTTGGAATTTAAAAGGAGAAATTTTAAAGATGTTTTAGTGTTAGCTTGGTTCTGCACATAAATTTGACTAAATGAGCTGCTATGTCGTAAAAAATTATATGATGGACATTATGAAAATGGCATATATGCAGCTATCTTGAAAGAGCAGAATTAGTTTTGGGCCCACTGTTTTGAAATTTGAAATCCGCATGGTCTAAAGATGATTTCCTGTAGGTTTTATGCTTGTATCATCATTTGCACTATTTTGACAGCAAATATTTTCCGCCGAAATATATATTAATTTTGAAAGATTGGAAATTATCAGTTAAGGTGGTAAAAACAAAACAGCAAATTAAAAACTGGCATCAAATATCCTTATTAAATGTTCCTTACAAATTAATTCAAGCATGTGTTGAAAAACAGACTTAAAACTTTTTTTGTCGTATTAAATAAATAAATGAAAATTACGGTCAAACATGTTTCTTATCGGGACGGTTATATTAATAAAGAATTAGTTAAGAATCTATTTGTAGTGACAGTGATTGAATAATATGTTTTTAATCAGTAAGGTTATAATAGGTCAGGGCTTTTGCGTTTTTTAAAGTAACATTATGCCCACCAAAGGGTATATAGTTAGTGAACTGGTGAAGATCAAATTATGTTTTCATTTTGGCATAATCCCTTTTAATTTAATGATAAAGTTCACAAAAACAATAAAAACACACAGATCAAAATGAAATATCTGAAAATATCCGTTAGAAAACACGTATAATGCTTAGTTTATAAAAAGAGTGGGGCAGTCTTTTTAAATTTTAGGCAGATTTATAAGTTTATCCTAAACATTTTTTAATATCAATTGTTGGTCATACACCATTTTGATAGTCAATATTTACAAATACAAAGTCAATTCAGCTCAAGTTGACTATGGAAATATGAGCATAATGCCACTTTAAAGACACACTAGAGTAAATCAAATGTGCAAACAATATTGAGAAAAAATATTTGTTTATAATGAAACTATTCCCTATTATGTTAATCTTTTTATATCATCATTTTTAAAAAAAAAATCTATGTATTTTTGCCGCGCGCATTTTCTGTACGAGTGACTATCACTATTGTGATGTTTTGTATTTGTCGCGTGATTTTTGTTGGTCTATGGCGTTTTTATAATGATTTAATGAATATATATAATGTTTAATGAAATTAAAGCTGCTGTATGGAATATTTTTCTATCACTCAAAAATTAAAAGAAAGACTTGTATAGATATAGCCTTTTACAGTGACTGATCAATAAGTGGCTAATGTATAAATTAACCCTTTATCTGCATCTTATCTGCTTTGGCTTTTCGCTATTATACTGCTTTTTTAAAGGGAGTTTTGTACAGCTATGTTAAGGGAAATATAAGCATATAATGTTCATATAGTTATAATCTTTAGACTGTTAAGTTTTGTATGATATTTAAAATACCTGAATGCTGTCTCAGCGAATTGATGAATTTAGTTTTTGCGCTTGTTGCTTTAGGTCTGTACACCTTATCTTTTAAATATTCCCAAAGACAAAATTCAATTTAGGTGAACGAGGGGTCAAACATTGGCAGTTTTAAATGAGATGATGTGGTCACCAAATGTTTCGCGCAACCATTATGCCCCTTCTCTGCAATGATGGTTGAAAAGTCTTTCTTAGCAGTTGTATAAAGCGAGCGCTGTCAATAGTTTGTCTCTCACCCCCGTGTTCAAAAATGAAAGTTCAAATCACATCACTTTCAATAAATGAAGTACAAACTGTTACCTTTTCGTCGTGTAGTGGCATTTCATAATGGTAGCTAGGTTTTTCAGCGCCTAAAATTATGTGTATTTACAACAACATTAAGGCTAAAACATGATTCATCTGAAAACCAAATAATGTTAGCTATGACTATATGAGTTTTCATCCACCTGGAATTTCTTTACGGCTGTCCATATTGGATTGCTTCAAATGCTGAAAATTGAATATACGGAAAAAGTGTTCAATAATTACTAAGCATTTTTTTAAACACCTGATTAATTTGTAACATTAGTAATGTTACCTTGAAATTGCCGAACTGATTTCTTTCTCTGGAGCTTGCAATTTTATGCATTTGACTCTGCGAGTAGATTTTGACCGTCCGGCATTATTATGACGCCAATTCAGTACAAATCCAGTTGTTTTTGTTGTCTCGACTGTTAACCATCACCAGTATAACGTTGTTTATTTTTATGATGGTTGTAATTGGTGAATGACTTTTAACAAAACTAATACAACTTCAAAAGCTGTTAACTTGGAGAGCGCAATTTTGAATACAAAATAAAAAAAACAATCAAATAAGCACTTGTATTCTATACTCTTTCAAGTAATATAACTTCATTATTGTCTTATTATCGAACAGCATTTTATTAACATCTAAAACTATATCAGCACACTTTTGCTAAAATGTCTCAAACCTTCAAATTAAACCATATGTCATGTGAAAATTTATTTCTTGGAAGAAGTTACAAAACTCGACATTGTTATATAAGTATTTGATGTGCAAAATGATATAAAAATAATTTAAAAATTGAAGAAAGAAAAAAATCTAGGGGTTTGAATTCCTCTGATGACTTGATTATTCAATAAGCAAATCTATCCAAATATGTAGATCGGTTTTTATGACAATACAAACGCTTAGTTGTCTGATGACATCTCAATTACTGATTGTAACATATAGCGTATTCAGTATAGGGTATCTATACATAACAATTCAATCTAGAAATTATTAAAAAGCACGAAACAAAGATTACGGATCTAAATAACAAACTAAAGTAAATACTGTTAAAATTATAAAATAGCGAAAATGATTAATTTTATTTCTCATAAAGACATTATTAGACTAATATGACGTTTGCAATTGTAGTTATCCTTAAAGCCTGAACAAAATACGGTGACTCCTGGGTCAACAGATAAGCTTATTATTACTGGAACACCTTTCTCGTGGGTTGGCCTCAATGTCATGGACAAAGCCTTGCTACTTTTAAATGACAAAAACATACTGACGAAAAGTAAGGTAGGACCAAAACTTTTGAAAAGAAATACAATATATATAATGCCTATAAAAATTCACTAATATTTTTTTTCTGATTTATCAAATTTAAATAAGACTTGTTCTTTTACCAAGATATGCAGTATCTGATGATATACTTGATTCAAATCAATTAAAGATGTCTTTAATGTATTGAAATAACTTTATTGCTATTTCGAAAAATGTGTCAATATTTAAATATACATTTTCAAGACATTGCATGCGAGTGTTTATGAATAAATTCAAACCGCTTTTTCTTATTCTTTTTAATGCTCCTAACAAGGTCTTAATTATAATATTGTTTAGAGTTTTGTTCTTAAGATATGTGAAGCAATTCTCTTGTTCATGACTTTCCCCTTTTCATATATTCTCACACACACATATATATGTATATTTCAAAGATGTTCGATGCTCTGAGGTCACACGATCTCGGGTGTGGTGAAGGTAGCGGTAGAAATAATGGAGACGTGTTCAAGGTAAGTTTATGTATGTAACCATAAACGTTAGTTAAAATAGTCAACTTGAATTCGACAGCTTTACCGAAATAAGTTAAAACTTAATTTCGTAAATGCAGAAAAGGGTTGTAGTCTTTATTGTATTTTCTTGACACGCTTATACCCGTATAAATCAGATGATCATGTTTTTATCTTTAACAAATTTACCTAGTAGATTTCTAATTTAACTTAAAATGATATTTTCTATTTTGGCAGACGAGTGTTTTTTTGTTGTGTATTTATAAGAATGGCCATCTAACCAGTTTCTTTAAGATAGAAAAAGGTGTTAGACAGGGGTGTCCTTTATCCCCTAACATTTTTATTATTTTTATAGAACTACTCTCAAATGAAGTTACCGTGAATAAAGATATTAAAGGCATTAAGATCGGAAACATTGAACTTAAACAAACACTTTTTGCCGATGATGCATGTTTATAACTGATGAAGAAAAAAATCGTTTCTAACACTAACTGCATCACTTAAAACTTAGATTGAATAAAGATAAATGTACTGTTTTAAAACTTGGAAGTTTAAAAAATACTCAATTTCTGCAATGATAATAATTTTAACTGGACATCTAACAAAGCTAGCACGCTCGGTATAACTTTCACTTATACCATAGACGAATTGTTAAATACTAATTTGACAACAAACTCAAAGAATTCGATCATTGTTTTCCATATCTATTTTCAAATTCTTAAACCCATTTTGAGTGTTCCTGCAATTAAATGCGTTTAATACATGAGCATTTTAAGGAATTATATATAAAGCTTTCAATGTCAAATCTTATCTCTTGATATTTTGTGTCCCACAGGAAGTTGAACATGAGCTTTTTTTATTTTATTCATGATATCTTGGTCTGGATTATGTATAACTGTAATAACCGCCTCCGTGGTCGAGGGGTTAGAGTCGATGACTTCTAGTCCAGTTTCCTCTCTGGCGTGGGTTCGATCCGCGGGAGATGCTTTGGCAGTTTAGCACGGAGGAAGGTAGTCTAGTACTGGTGTAACTCTCCAGGAACGATGGTTAGGAAACAGCCTATAGGACTGAAATACTGTTGGAAAAAGACGTAAAATGAAACAAACAAACAAACAAATGTATAACTGTAAGAGGATAAATAGGTTTGGACATTGCAAAAAATTTTAAGAATAGTATTCTTTCCAAAAAGACTTAGTTTCCATTTATGCAAACACTGATCGAATTCTTTAAGTTTAGATGTTAAATAAGTATTAGAATGCAATATGTTAAATAGGTAGGGAAAACAATTCGTATTTAAATGTTATCTAAACATCTAAAATATTGAAAATTTTGGTACTAGATCAAGAGTTTTAAAAGCCGACTCAATGCTTGGTAGTATGTTGGTAAAAACATTATATGGAATAACACGAATATAAAATTAGATAAAAAACATTTGTATTCTGTGAATTGATGGAAAAGGGCAGAATCTTTATCGAACACATATACGATTACTGGAAAAAACAATTTTATGGCTTCAACGAAATTCAAAACCTTTATGGCATAGCCCATTTAAACTTTTTAAACTATCAGCAACTCATAAAATGCATACCAAACGAATAGAAAATAAAACTAAAATCTGAAGGGATTTAATACAAAGCAAATAATTTTAATTGATTAATTAAAACCCCTAATTAAAAGCTGCCGATTAATTTATACTGCGCTTGTTCAAAAGAAGACAACAACAAACAATCACCAAAGAAACAAATGGGAAGCTTAACTCTCAGGCAACTTAGTAGGGAAAAATATATTCTGTCAAATCATTAATATAACGATTGATACCAAACTTCGAGGTTTTAAATATAAATATCTTATCCATATTTTGCCAAACAATGAAAAACTTTTTAAATATGATATGGTGGAGTCAATGTTATACGAGTTTTGAATCTAATGTGTATTTATTTTAGGAATGCTAAAAAATTCAACCATTTTGGTGTCAAATCAGGATTTTTGCTACACACAAAATATTCTGTAGACAAAACTTGGTATCATACGGAACTGTCAGTTTGTGTAATGTGGATATTCAAAATGATATGAAAGCAAACTACTAAATCTTACTCTTTGGTAAATATTTTATCTTTGAATATAACTACCAGAAAACTATACCAAACTTCAGTGAATTTTTAAATTTTCTTAGATATAAACTCAGTTTAGAAAGACTCGTTGTTAAAATGAAAAATAAGGTCGGGTGTTTATGTATGTATCGCTTATACATAAAATAATGAGACAAATATGCTAATATCCTTACCCATTACTTTATGAGCATTTTGTGAACAAAAGGCTGTTTTCATTGAAAAGCCTCCTGTAACAAATTCAAATTGCTATGACACTATAAAAAGGCTTCAATGTTGACTGGACCATAGCCTTTTTTATCGAATACTCAATCTTAAATTTCCCGTGACCAAGGCAACAAGAAGGCAGTTCAAGATTGCCAAAAAACACTATTTTGCGCTGATTTTTCCATCAAAACTAATTCAGATTTAGGCAACTCTTCAATGGATTGAGATAGAGTCAAAGGCTTTCATCGTTGTTTTAGCATTACCTTAAGGTCGACCTTGGGCGATTTTTAGCCTATCAGAAGTCAGAATTTTTTCAAGTCTGCTGACCTCCTTGAAACCCCCAAACAGAAGGGAGCACACACCCCTTCTGGCACCCCCTTGATGTATCTATTTGATAGAGGAAAGAGCCAAAAAAATTGATCACTATTATTCACACCATATCTCAAACGAAACTGGTCTAGATATGGCATTTTTCACTAGTTGAGGCGTCAAAAGGGGTATAGGGGTTGCAAAGACGTGAAAAGACGTCTATATGACGTTATGTGTTAAACTAAGTTACCAAAGAGGTTCTATTTAAAATGTAACACAACACAACGTTTATAGAATGCAGGTGTATCCATTTTGACGAACGCCAAGGTTGAATTGGAGATGTACGGTTGTAATCCAAACTCCAGAAAAAGACGTGCCACTGATGGTAATTATCGTTTTCAATGAGTCTTTGACGAAAGGGAACACGTCTTACAGTCTAAAAATCTGTTAGAGTATATGGAGTTTACAGATTTCAACTGCGGATATGTTACATAGATTTTCATTTTCTAAGGCACAAATAAACACAGCAGCGTGTACTCGTGCATATTTATCTTCTGTGATTTGCGTACTAGTATCATACCAGTTATTTACAAGTACATCACAGAAAAAAATGTGATAATAGTTTAAAGATACATGTATATGAAAAATCCCTTTTGTAAGAAGTATTCAATTGTTATTCATTAACTGATATATTTCATCATTTTGTAATGATTTCTGCACAAAAAAATTGGTATACATTTGATTTTCTATTTATAGACTAAAGGCTTGGGTCACTGCTGTGTTCTTCTTTTAAAATAAAGTAATCTTAGTCAGAAAATATTTGCTTAGGTTATAATTATGCATCATCACTATTGATGCTGACACTGTTGAGTACGTTTGAATATGTGTTTGCATTTCCCTATAGAAACAAATATAAGAGCGTAATTGTTATATCTATTATAGATTGCAATGGAGCTGACGAAAGGTGTTGTATATATGGTAAATGGTATGCTGGAAAGGTTTTTAACGAAACTGCTAAAGAAGAAAGGGCAAAATTAGATTCATACACTTTGTGCTACTCTGCTGCAAAGAAAGCGTTTGAAACTAACCATTATGCAATCAGATGCATCCAGTCTATCTTACGTTCATGTATAGATAAGATGGAGTCATTGATTTCAAGTAAGTGCATTTTTCAGTCGCAGGATTTTTAATTTATCTTTATTCCCTGTGAAACACACAGGGATGAACAAAATGAATATAGGATTTTCATGAGTCATTTTAAGCCCCCACAAGCACCACAAGAATGCCAAGATGTTTTTACTATTAACTAGGTGCAGTGTACCTAATAGATCACGCAGACTTGAATTTACCTCAATGGAAGCATTTATTGTCAGTACAATATTCAATGATACAATTTAAATAATTTCTAGTAGTCAGAATTAAATTTACATTGTTCCTTACTAGAATAAACTATCGCGGCAAATATTTACAGGTAAAAGTTCAAAGTTTATCATTGTATAAGTGGCTAAGTTTTTGAAAGAATGACAAAATAAATGACCACACGAATGATATTTGTTTAAAAAAATATGGTATTCACACTTTAAGCTGGTATAAATTCAATAATAGATTCAGGGTCAAAATCCTTACTTCTGGAATAGTATAAGCAAATTTATTTTTATGTCTTTAGCACACTTTCTTATTAGTCCTTTGTACACATGTATTTTATTCTATTCTGTCTTAACGCAAAACCCATTAAGAAATTACGCAAACTTTATAAACTAGGTTTACCACGGCTTTTTTTTAAAAAAAGATACTTGTTGTTTTAAATAATTTGCTTTAATCATTGTTCAAATCATTTCAATAGTTAGATACTTTTCCATTCTATAGAAAATGTTGTCTTAAATGTTCTTAACTTGTTGAACCACAAATCAATGTTATTAGAAAAAACATGTATTTTTTAAATTGAAAGTTAAGAAGGTTACAAACTATTACAAAATATTAACAAGAATTTCTTTAAAAAAAAAAACAACTGGAAAAGGATGATGATCATAAGCAATGCAGCAACACTTTATAATATTTTTAAAACCTAAGAAGCTTAGCCTTATATTTTTTACAAGGATGCTTAAGATCCAGTTGTCGAAGCAGTGTTACAAATTAAAAGTGACACCGGTGAAGTAAGTTAAATCTTGTAGCAGAATTCTTGTAGACCTCCAGCTAATAATAACTCTTGAAATAACAGCCTCGAGTTTTAATTCAAATTCATATTATAAAAAAGAAGAGGCTGATGTAAATACTTTTGATCCTTCCAAATAAAATAATTAGAGGATATTTTTTCGTTTGAGTGAAATATGGAATATATTTTCATGAAACATGATAAAATGCCAAATATTTTCAGGTATGCCATGCCTTGAGAAGATAACCTTGAGTTTTCTAATTATAGAAACACTTTTGCTGCTAGTCAAGTCAGTAGGTCAACTTCAAAGTATCTACTGAAATAGTCAACTGTGACTAAATAGTCATCATTTTCCCATGTGAACACGTCTGTGCCCACTACCTGCCATGGTCTGTCGGGTATAGGGTGACATTTTAAAGGCTCTTTAGTGTTTGAATTTCTGTGTTTCAAACAAATATCACATTTCAGTACATAGTCGGTAATGTCTGAACTCATTTTTCGGCCAAAACATTATATCACGGGCTCGTTGTAAGCATTTATCAACGCCCGTATGGCCTACATGAACAGCCTTTATCATTTCCTGCCTAAGTGAAAGAGGTATGAGTAATTTCTTACCTCTGAAAATTAGGTCTTTTCCCACGGACAATTCATCTCTGTGATTCCAGAAATCTAGGATTTTGGCGGGACAATTTGCTCTAGATTCCGGCCAACCACTTAAAATTGTATCTGTTAGCAACTGACATTGTGAATCATTGCTAATTGCTTGCTTGACCTGTTCTAATTTTTGGTCGCTCACAGTCATGCTTGTGTGAATATGTAGGTCAAGATCTGCTGATAATTCAGGATATGTTGCTGACAAAGATTTTCGAGACAAGAGGTCTCCTACAGGGATATCTTTGCCTGGGACATGGACAATATTCAAATCATATTTTTGCAACTGTAACAACATTTGTTGTAACCTTGGACTTGCATTGCATAATGATTTTTTCCAAATAGATGAGATAGGCTTGTGATCAGATTCTACAGTAACTACTTTACTATTACCGTAAATATACTGATGAAAACGCTTGCATGAAAAAACTATACTTAACATTTCTTTCTCAATTTGGGCATAGTTTATTTCAGCTTTTGTCAGGGTTTTTGAAGCATAAGCTACGGGCTTTCCGTCCTGGAACAAAACACTACCTACCCCAGCCTTCGAAGCATCACATTGTATAGTAATTGGCTTCGTATGATCAAAGTATGCAAGAACTTGGGCAGATGACAGAATAGTTTTGACTTCCTGAAATGCCTTATTTTGTGCATCTTTCCACTCAAATTCTACATCTTTCTTAAGTAATGCACGCATAGGGGCTGTGACCGTAGCCAATTTTGATGAAAATTTTGACATGTACGTGCACATTCCTAAGTATGTTTGTAGCTCAGCCTTATTATTGGGCGGTTGCATTTCAGTGATAGCACTGATCCTTTGAGGATCGGGCTTCACACCAGTTTCAGATAGAATATGACCAAAATAGGATACTTGTGTAACTCCAATTACACATTTGTCAGGATTGAATTTAACACCATATGTGTGTGCACGTTTTAAGACTTGTCTCAAATTTGAGTTATGTTCGTCCTTTGTCTGTCCGTATACTAAAATGTTCGTCAACGATTCAGTCACGCCTGGTAATCTTTCGAAGGCTTCGTCAAGTTTCTGTTGAAATATGTCCTGTGAACATATAAGTCCAAAAGGTAATCGCTTAAAACGATACCTAACAAATGGTGTGTTAAAGGTTGTGTAATTATGAAGTTTCATCCAATTTCACGCTTCTAGTAAACCACTTGTGGCGTCAGTACTGAGAAGTACTTTTGCACCCTGCTAGTTGCGAAGTGACTTCTTCGAAAGTTCTCATAGGGTAATGAGGTCTGTACAGGGCTTCATTGAGTGCCTTGGGGTCCAGACATACCCTAAGTTTTTTAGTTTTGGGTTTCTCTACAATCACTAGATTGTTAACCCATTCAGTTGGCTTTTTGACCTTGTCAATTATTTCAAGCTTTTCCATCCGATCTAGTTCCTCTCGTAATTTGTCTTTTAATGCGACAGGAACCCGTCGAGGTGGGTTTACGACTGGTATAGAGTCGGGCCTCAAATGTAATTTAACTTCACCTGACATTAAACCAATGCCATCAAATACAGGTCTAAATTCATTGAGTATGGAGGGCTTGTAGCCAGTCTCAGAAGATATTTCCTGGCTATTTAATGAATAAACAATTTTGATTAAATTTAGGTCAGTGGATGCCTGGAGGGATAACAGGGGTGAGGATGTAGTTTCTACAACATAAAATGTAATAGGCATAGTGACTTGTTTGCAGGTTACTTTTAACCTAATTGTACCTTTGACCTTAAGGCGATTGCCAGTATATGACGAAAACTTTTGAGATAAAGAATTATTTACCGTATTTACATAGAAATCAACATCAGAATTTTCGGAACTATCATAATCCGTATTTGCCTCAATGTCATGCACTGTTTTTGAACGGCATACACTCTTGAAATGATTTAATTTTCCACATTTGTCACATTTTTTTACCACTGACTGCCGACTCGGTGTTATTTCCATATAACTAGACTGCTTTCTGGTCTACTTTTTTACCAACTTTGAGTGGGTTCTGCACGTGCGGCTTGGTGCACGGTGTCTGTACTTCACGTCTGTTGTTACAGCATGTACATCAATCGCGGCTCGTTTCTTTCATTTGCTCCCTGGAGTATTCATAATTTTGACAGATTTGAATAGCTTTTTTCTAAGGTTAAGTCCTTTCCTTGATTTATTAATTTCTCTCTAATTTTGTTCGAATTTGTCCCAAATACAATCCTGTCACGTAACATCTCATTTAAATTTGGAAAAATCACAATCTTTAGCTTTAAGTCTTAATCTTGTTACAAATGAGTCTATTGATTCGTCTTTTTGGATTTCGTTGAAGAACTGGTATCTGGCAAACATTGGATTAAGAGTTGGTCTCAGATGGTTTCTAAATTTTTCATAGAATGTATCTAGCTTCTTTGCATTTTCCTCCGTTATGTCTGTCCAAGAATGACGTATGTCACGACCTTTATCACCAAGCCACAAAAGTAGGTATGACACTTTTTTCTTTTCTGGTTTCTCTGCTTGAGGTCCACTAAATACTAAATTTGCATGTCGTACAAATTTTTCAAATGCCTCTGGTAAATTGGTGTTGTCCCATCTCATAGATGGCGGTACAATTCCTTCCATTTTTTTTTACTGTTAATTAATTAGTCCATAATTAATTATCCATCATAACAAATATTTAACAGTATTTAATCCAATTTATATTAAAACATAGTATTGTTTATGTCCAAATCACTTCTGACACCATGTAATATTTGGTACTTTGTATAGACAATGGTCTATAATATTCTAATGACATCTAAGTCATTATATAAACAACTAACACAAAGTGTGTCTTGACTGTTTAATTTACTAATTCCAAGTGCGCTGTAGCTGCATACATTTAGGCGGGAATACATGTTACAGAGAATCATGGGAAGTATAGACTTGCTATAGTGATAACATAAATGAATTACAAGTACATAATTCTACATAACTTTTCTATTTAATTTAATTATCAAAGAAAAATTGTTACAACCCCCTTGCTTGCCACCCAACTGCAATTGTACAGCGCGCAGTAATATAAATGCGTCTTGTTTTGCACGCGATATTTGGCGCTACATTGTGACGTCACGTAAACAACCCTTTAAACGTCAGTACAGCGTTAATGACTGAATTAAAAATATTAGTGTTCAGATTTATTTTCTTATTTAAACCATTTTCTATCATTCTTGATAGTTTTCAAAACGAAATTTAACAAAAAAATGTTTTGTATTTATCAGATTTTTCTGGCGAAAGAAGTCCCTTAAAATAAATAAGAGTTTTGACTCCGCCCACTTTCATATTTATATTTATTTCTAAAAAATATGAAATATATTTGACTGAAATAGCACCAT